GCTGCCACTATGGCCTTTCTAAAATTAAAACATAGTCATGCCACTTTTCTGTTTCAAATCCCCTGGGCTTCCAAGATTGCAAATGTACTCGCAGGATTTATGAGACACTCAGCACCTGTAGCTTCCTCCTGGTACTGCTCACCAGGCTAACCACCCCCACCCATGGCCCCTGGCTCTGTCTCACTGCCATGTCTCCCAACAGGCAGTGCCGAGAATATTAAATATTGTTTGCCCTCTCCCCTCCCATTTCTCCATTCATGGTTCTAACTCCAAATTGAACATCACTCTCAGTCTGCATGTTGATTCCCTTAAAAGTCTTCCTATGATGTCCTCTTTAAACTTCTCTTCCAGATTGGTGTAAGAATCTCTTCAATGCGCTCTCATTGCACACTGTGTTTTCTTCTCATATTACCCATCATATTTTTATTGAAATTGATTATTTAGTTGCTTACAAAATTAATTGTTATTTTATTGTATTTATCTCCCACTATATTATGGTCACTATTTGAGATTTTCAATATTTTCTTAATATTGTATCTCTTTTGCATAGGATAATGACCACATATAGGTGCTTTATTCAATAATGAATGCTTAGATCATGGCATCATCAATGAATTGATTTTAATGTGATTAATAAACAGCTTTGCTAAAAACTATTTACATATCCTGATACCCCTTTCTCTACTGTAAACAAAATCTAATGACTTAAAATTGATTAAAAAATATCATCCTTAAATATAGCATCAATATGATATTATGAATGAAAATATATATCTAGGACATAGCTGGAAACTTATATACAAATGCTAACTGATATCTTGTCAAATTGATCTAAGATCATATTTAATTTAATTTAATTTATAATTGAAAATGAATTTAGTATAGAGACATATTCTTTTTCTTTTTTTTATTTAACTAGGGGTATATTGCTTGTATTTGTTTTAAACTTAATCATTCTTTTTATATCAGGTTTTGTTTGAGTGAGATAGTCTTACCATTAATTGCAAGATATGCAAAAAAAGATGTTACCCATTTGGCCCTTTTTCATGAAACTATAATTAGTTTCATGATTATGGTTTTCCCTTTGTTAAAAATTATTTTCTCTATGAAGAATTTTCTTAGAGTAACAATTTTATATGGGAAGATTCAAGCTTATGTTACCTACATTACTTCTTTTTCTTTCATAGATAAGAGACATTGAGAGAGATGTTTCTAAGGATAAGTTATCTCTATCAAATTCTATCTTTCAACACCTGAATCAGCATTGATTAGAAAGAGACTAACCAACATACATGAAGTAAGTTCTAAGAAGGCAATGAAAATCTGACAAAATTTTATGGGAGTTGATCAAAAGGGATTAGCCTTTTGGAGTGTTTGCATATGTGTTAGAAAATGAAATTTTTTCATAATTTAATTTTTTGCATATATGTAAGGGTATTTTCAACAAAGAGCATTTCATTACCACTGTAAACTAATACATCTGTCTTCAAGGCCCTTGTAGACGACTGGTAAATGACCAGTGCAAATATTTACTAGAGGAATGGTGATATTTGTTTTTGCTATTGCATGCATAAAAAATACATATGAAGAAGAATATAAGATGTTATAGTAACTTTGGTATTATGAAATCCTAAGCCCCAACCTAACTCTAATATTTACTTTGTTATTTTTTGTTGTATTTGCTCTTTTTTTCAGAATTTTTTCCATAATATTGATTATTAGTAACTCATTTATAAAATATCTAAAAATTTTGCCTCATATAAATCAATTTTATATGTCATGAAAAAAGGTTTTCTGGTAAACAATATGTTCATTTACATTGAAAACCCAGGAAAACCAACAAACTGTTAAAATAGATAATGTACTAGTAAAGTTAACAAAAATACAATCAACATTTACAAAGGAAAATAGTTTTCCTTTACACAAGCAATAATCAATTAGAAAGGTAACAAAGTATAACTATTGCAATAGTCAAAAATAAGTTTATTAAGTATTTGATATTTAGCAATTACAAAGAAACGCCACTCATGTCATGGATAGCATTTTAAAAACTTATCAAAATATAATAAAAGATATGAATATATAATGAGCAATGATCATGGATGAAAAGACATTAATTTTAATTCTCTTTAAAATTATCTTTAAATTCAATGTAATTCTAAACAAAATCCTAGTAATTTTTTTTTGTGTGTATATGTGTATGTGTGTATTTTTCTATTTTTTTCCGCTTTTTCTCTCTATTTGTTTCTCTACATTCCTATATATATATATGTGTACACACACACACATTATCAAGCATTTTTGGTACAGCCATTTTGTAAATTAAAGTGGAAGCACATAGTAAAATTAAATATGTATAGTCTAGCAATTCTACTCTCAGGATATAGCCCAGAGATTGTTCACACTGGTTTTCCAAAAGATATGAATCAGATTGTTCTAAGCTAAGCACTGTTTGTGAAAGCAAAGAATTAGAGATGGCCTACGTGTTACTAAGGTGAATGATATTTAATGCTTTGTGAAGCTACAATATGCATTAATGTATAGCAGTCAAAAGCAAAGAACTGTATGAACAAGAGCAACATAAATAAATATAAAAACGAATGTTGCATCAAAACGTGAGAAAGAATATCTGTAGCACTATATCAGATATGAAAATGCCATAGACACAAAACACTATTTGCTCTGGAATATGTAAATATGAAAATAAAATGATTAGAAGATGAATTTGGAAGACATACATTAAATTCGTTAATGCTGGTGCCTGTTGAGGGAGGTTGATAAAACTGGGATTGAGAAATGAAGGAAATATACAGATTCATGTAGGAGCCAAATGACAACTGCATGGTGTGGGCTGAGGAACATGATCAGTTTGGTCCTCTGCCCTTAGGATTTTAATTAAATGAATTAATAAATTCAAAATCTATTTTTAAAACTTTGGACTATATAGCAAAAAGTTTTTTTATGTGTATTATTTAATATATATTTTAAGTAGGAGATGGAGAGAATGACCTCATTTGGGGAAAATTAAATATAAAAATTTATCCCAGTCAAATACAAATAAAAATATTATGCCAAGCTAAACACTAACTCTTCCATGTAATGATATTCATTCCAGTATCATTGATTAAGTAATATACCCATAATAAAAATATATCAGCTGTCTCTTTATTAAACAAATTCTAATATTAATTGCAATCATTATTAAAAATTAAATGTTTCATTTTACAGAAAGATTACTGGAATTCACTAAAAAATAAAGCCTGAAAATATATACAGCAAAAGTGTACATAAAAATTCTAGAGATAAATTTGCAAATATTCATTTCAGTGGTAGATTTTAATGCACATCTCACAATTATTAGTAGTTCGAGCAGTTAAAATTAGCAAAATTTAAAAAATATTTAAAATGTGAAATTAAAAAGCTTGATTTATTGGATGCTATATTTCTGTATAATATTACTTAGCAAAACTGATTCAAGAAGGAATAGTAACATGGTGCCTATAAGTAAACACAACAAAACCTTTATGAATGTAAAAATATATACAAATTTATTAAAAACATTTTAAATAATGTGCTCATAGATAAGACGATTTTATGTCATAAAGATGTCATTCTCTCCAAACTTATGGATAAATTTAATGTAATTCCAATGGAATTGTTGGATGACTAATAAAAATACAAGTACTCCTTAAAAGAAAAATGAACAGGTTATAAAACTAATTAAGGTCATGTTGCACTGGCAATGAAATGGAATAGAGCTATCAGAATGGCATTTAACATAAGAAACATGCCATTGAAGAGCACTCGGGAGTGAATGGGCCAGTAAAGGAATGGTGCCAGGCCAATTGTGTATCTATTAAAAAATAAATGAAATGGGTTTCCAACCTCACAGCACATATCAAAATTACTTCTTCGTAGATTAAAAGCTTTAATGGTGTCTTAAAATAGAAATATTTTAAAAAGAAGGAAGCAAATGTACTAGCACTTCATAGAAGCAGAAAAAGGAATGACTCATACCAAATGAAAAGTATTGAACTTAGGAATCAGTGAAGTGGTAAAGAGCATGTTACAATGTTATTTAGTACACATTAGTTGGGCAAAATTTAAACTGTCTGCTAATTTTGAATATCAGATCAATGGGGACTTTTATGCAATACTTACAGTAGTATAACTTGATATCAAATTGGAAACAATTTGGCATCATTTTGAAAATGTGGATCTTCCCGTTATGTATAGTAATTTCATAATGGTGTGTGTACAGCAGATTACAGAAGATGCATTAAGACACCTATACAAGATGAGGTGGATATGTTGGCTCACATGTAAAACCCAGCACTTGGGGAGGCTGAAAAGGGAGGATTGCTTAAGGTCAGGAGTTCGAATCCAGCCTGAGGAAACTAGTGAGACAATGTCTCTACAAAAAAAATAGAAAAATCAGCCAGTCATGGTGGCATGAACCTGTAGGCCCAGGTACTAGGGAGGCTGAGGTGGAAGAATCATTTTATCCCAGGAGTTTGAGGTTACAATGATCTATGTTTGACCCACAGCACCCCAGCCTAAGTGGCGGAGCATGATTCCATCATTAGAAAACAAACAAACAAAATACTATGCTGGAGTGCCCATTGCAATATTGTCCATAATAGCAAAATCTCAAAATAGCCTAAATTTCCCTCAACAGGAGGTAGCTAAATAAAACTGTGTCTTTTTAATGAATAAAATGTTATAGAAATGTTTTTGTGTTTTTTTTTTTTTGTTTGTTTTTTTACAGATATCCACGGCTTTATTGTTTCTACACACTCCAAAAGCACATTTCCCACAACTGCATGGGAGGCAGTGGCCCAGAGGCAGCGAGGCGGGAACAATGGCTTCTTCCTCCAGGGCAGAGAGAAGGAGCCTGGGAAGTCTGAGGACAGCAATGTGGAGGCAGAGGTGACGGCAACATTCTTGATGGCAGCTGGCAGCAGAGGGGCCAGGCGAGTCCATGGCAGGGCGGGGCGGGCTCACCTGAGGCGGTAGAGGACCTTGCACTACACGCGATGCTGGATCTCGCCCCGCCGCAGCATGAGCTGCAGCACTTTGTGGATGGCGTGCTCCGGGTATTTCTGCTTGGTGAAGTCCTGGATGATGCTGTGCTCAGACACCTGGGAGCCGATGGCAAAGCGGCGCTTGAGCTGCTTCTCGATGCGGCTGAGCATCTCTCCTGGTCCTCCTGGCTGGTGAAGCCCTCCACCCCTGACAGGGTGCCAGACAAGGCGGCATCCAACGTGGACACCTGGAAGAGCCTCAGAGCCTCCTCCACGTCCGCCTCCGTGGCAAAGGGCTGCAGCTTCATCTTGCTGAGGGACTCGGCGATGCGCACGATGGCCTCCAGCTGCCGCACGGTGATGGGGATGCTGGAGCGGCGATCGCTGTCCCTCGCGTGCTGACGGGCCCCGCTCCGCATGATAATGTAGCGGTTCTTCAGCTTCTCTGCAGACTCTGCTGACAGCCGGGGGCCACATTTCATTCGGCAGTAGGCGATGAACTTCTTCAGCTTGGCCAGGTCGATCTCGCCCTCCACGGCCTGTGTCTGGGTCAGCGCGCTCACGTGCAGAGTGATGACATGTTTGGCCAGCATCATATCCCTCTCCTCGTTGTGCTCGTCCTTGATGATGAAGATCATGTCAAAGCGGGACAAGATGGTGGGCATGAAGTCAATGTTGTCCTCTCCCTTTGTCTCATCCCAGCGGCCAAACACTGAGTTGGCAGCAGCCAGGACGGAGCACCGGGAGTTCAGGGTGGTGGTGATCCCATCCTTTGCGATGGAGATGGTCTGCTGCTCTATGGCTTCGTGGATTGCTAGGCGGTCATCTTCTCGCATCTTGTCAAACTCATCGATACAGACGACCCCACCATCAGCCAGGACCATGGCTCTGCCCTCCATGATGAAGTTCCAGGACGAGGGGTCCCTCATCACTGAGGCTGTCAGGCCGGCCGCGCTGCTGCCTTTCCCAGACGTGTACACCCCAATGGGAGAACACTTTTCCACGAACTTCAAAAGCTGGGACTTGGCAGTCCCAGGGTCCCCCAGCATCAGGAGGTTGATGTCTCTTCGGCGAGTAAGTCCATCAGGCAGTCTCTTTCGGGAGCCCCCAAAGAGCAAGCAGGCGATGGCTTTCTTCATGTCTGTGCCCCCAAAGATGGAGGGGGCGATACTCTTGGAGATGACCTCGTAGACGTTGGGGAGGGAATCCAGGCGACGGAACTCCTCCTCCTCCTGTGGGCTCACGGCCCCAGCAAAACTGCGGCCAGAGCCATCTGTGTCCACCTGGATGCCCAGGACACGGATGTAGGAGCTCCGGATGCCCACGCCCACCCTGTCACGGCCCCTGCTGGAGGTCAGGCCGAACTTCTTGATGGAGTAGATGCCCATGATGGTGACCCTGTTCCCAGGAACAACCTTGTCACACAGGTACCTGTCGCAGTAGAGCTGCATGTGTCTGGGCATCTCACCGTGGGGCACCGCGTCAGGCAGCTCCTGCAACTTTAGAGTCTGGAAGTCCACACACTTGCACTTGTCAGGCATGATGAAATAGGGGTCCAGTGGGCACTTGGGGCGCCCGGCCTGATCCGTGTTGCACTTCCTGGGCAGGGCGTATGTACACCTAAGTTAAAACTATTGAAGAAAGAAAAGGATGACAATAAGAATTAGGAGGGAAAAAAAGGGAATGAAAAAGACAAATTCAAATAGTTACCTCTTGAAGGGAGGCAGGGACAAATGGAATAGGGATGAGCACATAAATTTGGTGCTTTTGATGTTATTTTATTCCTTACATTGACTCATAGGTTTTTATTTTATTTTATTTCAGCATATTATGGGGGTACAAGTGTTAAGGTTACGTATATTGCCCATGCTCCCTCCCCCCTCAAGTCAGAGCTTCAAGCATGTCCATCCCCCAGATGGTGCACATCTCACTCATTATGTATGTATATACCCATCCCCTCCTCTCTCCTCCTGCCTGCCCAACACCCGATAAATGTTATTCCTATATGTTTTATTTTATTGTGGTCTTCATAGCTTATGTACACTTTCTTTCATATAAGTGGATACTTTATGCAATGTAAAAAATTGAAAACCATGCAAAATGTAACTTACCTTCTTATTTCCAACCCATAAACAGTATCAGCACATAGTAGATTCTTTGTACAAATTTTAAAAACAAAAGATGAATTATTAAAAACACACTTAAACATTTACAGTAGAAAGAGAAAGACTACAAAATACTTATAAAAAGAAGGAAGGTAAAACAGTATAGAACAATAAAGCATTTTAATAGAGAGCAAAGCCCGAGTTAGGACCTAAAAGAAAGTGTATGACTGAGAGGGATTTCTAAAACCACTGAATCCATTTAACCTCATGTCATTTTGCTTACAGGTAAAGAGAGCTGTCGAGCTCTTTGTATTTATAGTCTTAATATCTCCTTGCAAGAGCCAGAAGACTAAGGCCAAACAGAAATAAGCATCATCAAAATCTAAGAGGCAGAATTTATTCATAAAACATGTAACAGGGCATTCAATTCATAATACAACCTTTTCAGACAAAGGCCATAAGTATTTTAAGATTCTTTGTAAATTACCAAATACCTTTTTAGGTTCCTAAAGAAAGATGTTAAACTTGCTTTTAGGTAGAGTGATATTCTTAGTACCAAGATATCAATTACCCCAATTTTATTTTAGGTCGACCAAAGAAAGTTAAAATTAATTACTGTGTTTGTGTGAATGCTACAAGTTGTGAAAGGCTTGTAAATAAATAATGTTCAACTGATAATTCAGAGAAAAAGCTTAAATCAATTGAATATATTTCTTTCAGTTTGTTTAGCAAATATTGTTTTTCGCAAAACATTTGGTTGGTTCAGAGAATGAGCTATATTGCAGTCTGAAAATATGTTTCTCACACAAACCACAGGACATGGCAAAGCTTTCTCATCACCACCGAGCAAACCTCTACTATATAACTTATTGGTTAAGAGCTCTTCTCCAGAGCCAGGCTAATTCTGTTCCAATCCTGGCTCTAGAAGAAGTAGCTGCATGAATTTGTACCTGTTACTTAATTCTTCTGTGCTTTAGTTTCCTCATGTGAAAATGGAAAATGATAATAACATTTGATTCATAGTTATTGTGAAAATCGATGTCCAACACATGGTAGAGAATTTTAACAATAATGATTCCACAAATATGTTCATTTTGTTACAATTAAAAAAGGATATTTTGCTATATAGCATAAAATATTATCTTTGAGTCTTTGTTAATATTCTCTAATACAGTGGACACTTAATAAAGGGTTAGAGAATAAAGTTATTTTGGGATGTTTTTATCTGTTTTCCAGTGAAAGTCTTTCTTGACAACATATTAGCATTGATTGTAAAGAAAAAAACAGCACCAAGAAAGGGCCAGGAGCTGGTAGAGTGTGGAAGTCTGAGTTGGGGGCATGGCAAAAATGCTGCAAGTGTTCTCCCCTTTCCACCATGTTGTCATCTCTACACTTCACACTGATAAAAACTAAGAGGCTATTGAAAAATTCACCAAAGCCTTGATTCATTCAAACAACATTTATTCAGAAGGCTTTCGAGAACAGAGAACAGACGTTATGCTGTGGTCAGTAAACAAAATGTTCCAGTTCTCATGGAGGTGTTGCAGAGATAGGTAAACAGATAATCACAATAGTATCGATTTTTTCCACAATTTTCACAAATAATCCAATTGATTTTAGTCTGCTGAAAGAAGGGAAGGGGCTGAGTGTTTTCTCTTCTATTATCTGCTACCTGGGCAGGGAAACAAATTACCATATCTTAAAATGTATTTGTGCAGTCGTGGTGTATGGTGGTAAGAGAAAGGGAAAAGCTTCCCTTAGAGCTGGACAAATGCCTATAGAATAGAGATAAGTTACTCTCATTATAAATATTTAGAATTTTTTTTGGTAAAATCTATAATTTTTCTTTATAGTCTTTTTCAGATTATGAATTATTCCTCATTTATTAGGACAAATTATTCTCAATTATTTGGAGATAATGGTTCATAACACCTTGAGGGTTTCTAGAACTATGATTTCTAATGTGCTATCATAAAATTAATTTATTGACAGAATCTTGGTGAGAATTGGAAGTCACATAAACTCACCCTTCCTTCCACTTAGCACATACTATATAGAAGGTATATAAAATTAAACCTATGCAGTATTAAAAATTAGTATGTGTATACATGTCCTCACTGTATGACTATTCATGGTATTGACTTTAATGGTCTACTCAGCTGGATTAAATTGTAAGTACAAAGTGAATTTAATAGTTATGATTGCTTATACCATTTCCTGCGGTTAAACGAGTTCCTTTTGAAAAGATCTGGCCACTGCAGATATTGAATTCAATGTTTGTTCACTTTTAATTGCAGTTTTACTACACAGTCTTTAAAAAGCTATTCCACATGAAAATATCATTCCCCACTCTCCTTCTCTCGCTGTAGCCATCAACCCAGGAAGAGGGAATATAAAGCAGTTTCCAGAAAACACATAGAATATTATGACACAGCACGATCTGGCTTTCACATCTTAAAAGCCAAAATGTGCCTTTGCTAACTTACAGTAGGCCATGAAGTAATTATGTTGTGTGCTAAATGCCACTTTTCACTTTTCATTTGTGCTTTAACACTCAGTTCTTAGTAGATCATTTAGAGGGGATCAGCATTCTTTGGAAACGAAAAACACACCACAGCTCAGGGCAGCAGTGCCTGATGGGAAAAGAAGGCAGCCCACAAAGGGGGTCTTTGTAAGACGTGACGACATGCTGGTGTCTGTTACTGAATTGGCAGGCTCACTTCTTCCCCTAGTGTCTGCTCCTGAAATATTAAACTCATCTGTGTTGCAAAGCACAACTCAAGGAAACAAGTAGGCTTTTAAGGCACCCAAAGCCTCCACTCCAGAACAGGGATTAATTTCACAGATTGAGGTGAAGTCTGTCCTGTAAAGGAGCTCGATGCTGCACAATGTGTTTCAGTGAAGGCCCGTTCAATTTGTTGACTTTTTTTATGTGACTAATAACTCCTAAGGTTTAGAGTAATAATCGGAATAATGGGAGCCTTGACAATTTCTAGAAATTTACTGGGTGCCCTTATTGCTCTCTTCTTTTCATTGAGTCTTGAACTTTTATCACCAGAGGACAACTACAGCATTTAACACACAGTGTTAATGTCTTCAGGCCAGTTTTGAAACTGAGTCACTTTGAAGTTCTGTAAAGTACATTAAAAGTGACTTTATTAGTATTTGAAAATATTTGCTACTTGAAAAAAAAAATCTTAGGGATTTACACCTTATCTAATTACTACACTGAGTTCTATTTTCCACCTCTAGCTTGAAACAGCATAGGCAGACTGCCAACTCTAGCACTGAACATCCAGTGATCTAAGCTCTCACATCTGATTTAAATAAGGGTCTGATTCCAATGGATAGGTAACCTGGCATTCTAATTCCTTTTTTTAATTCAATGCTTACAGTATTATTTTAATTCTTTTTTGTCACTTTCAATTTTTTTTTTTCTCTTCATTTACCATTACCACTTTCTTCTATGGTGGAATTTACAGGCATGTCAGTGTTAGAATTAAGAGGTAGAAAATATATTTAGCACCTTATTTTGAGGCAATTCAAATATTTTGAAGCACTGAACTGTTTCTGCCATGACTATGCTAAATATCTTTCATATTTACAGGAAAAGGAAGAATGATTTAAAGTTTACTATAAATGCATGGTTAATTAGAGTCAGTAAGCACCCTTCTGCCCTGTAATTCCAAAGAGAACTTTTGCATTTTCTAAAAGAATCCCAGTTCTTTTCTATTTTTCATAATTTCATGTAGACTTTTTTCTTAGTTTTGATTTTTAGATGTGTGTCCATACTATTACACCCATACTACTCTATATTTTCTTTTTAATGTTCCTTTAATAATAATGTACTCTATAGTCAAAATGCATATAGGATATTGCCCTTTATAAGTACTTTCCAGTATATTGTCACATTCGTTTCTTAGCCTTCATAGGGGTACTTTTGAGAGTAAATGGGATGTTATAAACAGTTAATTATGGGTAATAAATTTTAACTTTATTTTATGGGAAGAAGTGGGATATAAAGTCACTCTAGTTTTAAGTAAGTCCTCATATTCTATTAGCCTCTTGAAAAGCAGCAGAGATCCTCCTGATCATGAATAATGTATATGGTGCATAATCAGCACCATCAGAGAGAAGCCATTGACCACTTGGTGACAAATATGCCAGACTTGGCCTTATTAACCAGATATTGGTTTAAAGAAATGAAAAATATGAATTTCTGTGTAAGACTTTTCAATTCTGTCTTAAAAGTAAAAGTTAAAGCAATTATATAATAGCTGTAGACTTTGGCCTTTCCTTTTCATAGGAGAGTTGTAAGGTCTATTGTTACTATTCAGTGGGTGTTGAGATCAGAGAAAAGCTCATAGGAGTATCCATTAATTTTTGGGGGGGTGAGGTTTAAAAGGGCAAGCAAATCTTGCAACAGCTGACCTTCAAGGAACAAGATTTGTCATTTTTTAAATGGTAAAACATTTTTATAAGATACAGCAATCACACACACATTCTAGAAACAATGGTGCTGGGACTTTTTTTTTTTTTTTTTTTTACATTAGAGACCACCATTACAATTGGAAGATATCTATTGCATTTCCTCCCAATTAATCCTATGCTGTAGTGACTCCACATGGAGTAGACCCTCACACGGGACAGAGCCTTGGCACAGGAAGCATATTTTATTCACAGCTTTCAAGCATGAGTTTAGAGAGCAAATTTAAAATGTGTTTCTTGAAAAAGAGTTCTACATTTAAGTTAGGAAAGCAAGTACTAAATGTGTCACTGATTCAGAAGGGCAGAAAATGTTTGGTAGTAGGAAATGGGAAAAGGAGGGATGGGAATTAAGTGTCACATTGTGTTGGAAAAGCAGAGAGTAAGCACTAGCAAGTTCAAATCGGATGCTCGAAATTGTTTGAAACAAGATAACAGACTCAGTCTAAAACACATGGTTGTATTTGTATGAGTTTCTAGGACCTGTCTACTTGGGTATGTTGGATCAATTTAAATGGATTTGGAACAAATATGCAATGATGATGCCTAGAGGATTTATTTAAGC